GACCGCGCCGCGGACGTCCCCGACACGCCGCAGATGCCGAAGGAGCCGCGGACCCCGGACGCCACCGACGCCGTTACCGCATGGGACACCAACGTCGCGCCGCGGACGCCCCTGACGCGCCGATTTCGCCGCCTACGCCCCCGAAGCGCCGACAGCGCCGCCGACGCCACTGACGCTGTCAGCGCCTGGGACGCCGCCGACACGCTGACCGCGCCGCGGCTGCCCCCAACGAGCCTACCGCGCCACTGACACTCCCGACGCGCCGACTGCCCCGCTGATGCCATCCGCGCCAGGGACGCCGCCGAGGCGCCTCGGAAGCCGCCGTCGCGCCGCGGGCGCCGCGGACGTCCCCAACACGCCGGAGACGCCCCCGACGCAGAGCGCGCCATGTGCGCCGCCGTCGCGCCGCACACCCCGCGGACGCCGTCAGTCCCTGGGACGCGCCGACTGCGCCGCTGACGCCACTGACGCTAATAAGCGGCTGGGAAACCGCCGAACTGCTCACCGCGCTGTGGATGCCCCCGACCAGCCTACCGAGGCGACACTTCCGGTGCTGCCGATGCTATCCGCAGACGCCACTGAAGTACCTCAGACGCCGCCGTGGCGCCGCTGACGTCACTGACGTGCTGACCACGGCGCGGACTCCACCGATCCTCTGGACGCAGCCTACAACGACCGCGCCGCGGACGCCCCCGACGCGCGCACCGCGCCGCTAACGCCCCCAACGCGCCTACCTCGCCGCCAACCCACTGACACTGTAAGCGTCTGGGACGCCGCCAACTCACTGACCACATCGTAGCCACCGGCGACGCTCCCGACGCGCCCACCGCGCTGCTGATGCCATCCGCGCCTGGGACGCCGCCGACTCACCGCAGACGCTGCCGACGCGCTGATCTCTCCGCAGACGCCCCGGACTTGCGGACCTCGCCGAAGACACGGCTGACCACGCCGCAGCGGCCGCGGACGCCCCGTCGCTGCAGATGATGGCGCTCACCTCAGAAACGCAGGGTGGACGTACCGGTAAACCTCTACATAGAGCGCCGCCGCCGACGCCCCGTCACCACCGACGCACCGCGGACGCGCAGACCGCCTTGCAGACGCCGCCTACGCTGACCACGCCGCAGACGACCCCGATTCGCACAGCGCACCGCAGAGGCTGCCAACGCCGACCGCGCTGCGGACGCCTGCATTCGCCGAGCTCACCGGAGTCGCCCCGGACGCGCCATCCGTGCCTCCGATGTCCGGTCGCCGCAGACGAAGGAGCTCACCTCGGAAACGCGGGGTGGTACTGGTAAACCTTGACGTAGAGCGCCGCTGCCGCCAGGGACAACCGCGCCCGAAGCCGACCGCACCGCAGACACCGCGGACGCCCCGCAGATGCCGCCCGCGACGCAGGACGTCCCGGACGCCGACCGCGCAGCAGCCTGACGCCGCAGCTGTAAGAAGAATTGCAGAATAAGAGCCAGCAGCTTTAGGGCCTGGGAGGCTGAAGTGTACAATGAGATTTGAAGCCGGGAACGAAACTTCCAGCACCTAAATCATAGTCCGGGTCACAAGGAGCAGTTGCTTCAGGTGAGTTTACACGATTTCAATGGAAACTAGGCTCATAGAAGTCTGAAATTGGTTTCTGTAATTTGGTGATATTAATCCACCTGTGTTGAGTACCTGCTGTATGGAAAAAATTGAGAGTAGAGAATCAGGAGGATTTAAAATAAATACAAAATAGAATTTGTGAATGAAGATGCTTACTAACAAGTGTAAGAAACAGTACATATAGCCCTGACTTAAGCAGTCTTTTGTGAAGTCTTTTATAAAAACCTAATATTCAGAAAATAGTTATTAAGCACCTCTGTGAGTCAAACACTTTTCTGGGTGATGGGAAGGCAGAAGATTGGGCTACTGCGCTCAGTTTAATAGATGAAGGGAAACTGTACAGAAACCTAGAGTGAGTTGAATAATAGAATAAAAGTTTTAAGGGGAAATGGAGCATTAAGAAAAGACTGATCGGTTCTGCCGCCTACTCTAAGCTTCAGTCACATGGAATCAGCTACATTTCACTGAATGTACAGTTTTTTCATTGTGTGCATAGTGTGCATAATTTTTTTCTCTGACTAGCATACCTTTCTCTCCCTTCTTCACCTGGGAAATCCTAGTGTTTTGATGAAGATTCCCCGTAAAAGTTACCTCTTCTGTGAGGTCTTTACTGGCACCTGCAGGCAGTTAGCCAGTGCATCCTAGCCTATGTTGCGTAGCAGTTAATTCTGTGTTGTGTCTGTTGTGTGTTGCAGAATAGTTAACAATTTCTACGTCTGTTGTCTCTGCTAAACTTGTTACTTTTGAGGAGAGTGATTTCATCTTGTTATTTTGTGTTTTTTGAGATGGAGTCTCACTCTGTTGCCAGTCTGGAGTACGGTGGCACAGTCTCGGCTCAGTGCAACCACCGCCTCCCAGTTTCAGGTGATTCTCCTGCCTCAGCCGCCCGAGTAGCTGGGATTACAAGCGCGTGCCACCACGCCCAGCTAATTTTTGTATTTTTAGTAGAGACGGGGTTTCACCGTGTTGGTCAGGCTGGTCTCGAACACACCTGACCTCATGATCCCCCCGCCACCCAAAAGTGCTGGGATTACAGCCTGAGCCACCACCCAGCTGCATCTTGTTTTGTTTGTGTGTGTGTGTGTGTGTGTGTGTGTGTGTGTGTGTGTGAAATGGCTAACAAGTTACTTGGCAATTTAGTTAATACTGGATAAAGAAATAAAGGAAACTATTGTTTGGTTTCAGGAATTTCAGGAGCTCCTACAGTTTAACTCAGACAAAGCCCTTGAAGCAAATCAAATGTTACATCAGTAAGAGGTTAGAATAGGTAATCTGAAAATCCCTTCCACTGTTGAAAATCTTTAAAGTTTAACTCCTAATATCAAAAACCATCTTTCACGATTATTAGAAGGTCAGATGCTCTTTTAGGCATCCACAAAATATAATTCCACCCATTAATGAAAAACTTGCAGTGAAGATCACACCCCACTCCTTCCAAATCAGTGGCTAAACAATGAAGAAGACTAAATGTTCTTTTTTCAAAATACTACTTCCTGGTTTTACAGATACCTACAAATGTTAAAATTTATCAAATTATACATTTTAAATACGTGTAGTATATTGTTTCATCATTTTGCATCAATAAGACTGGTAAAAATAAAAATACTATCACCAGCTTTCTATCAGCGTAAACACGTTACTTCATTCCAATGATCAGAACATCAACATTATAGCCCTAGTGTTGTTTTGTTTTTTTCCCTTGAGACAGAGTCTTGCTGTGTCACCAGGCACCAGGCTGGAGTGCAGTGGCGCGATCTCAGCTCACCGCAACCTCTGCCTCCCAGGTTCAAGTAATTGTCTTGCCTCAGCCTCCTGAGTAGCTGGGACTACAGGTGCATGCCACCATGCCCAGCTAATTTTGTATTTCTTAGTAAAGACAGGGTTTCACCATGGTCTCAATCTCTTGACCTCCTGATCCTCCCTCCTCAGCCTCCCAAAGTGCTGGGATTACCGCCCTACCTAGCCCTAATAATTTCTAAGTTTCTCTTTTAAATTTATTTTCCCTTTTATTCAAGTTTTATTGTATTCTTCTCATTTTCTGAAGTCATCAATCATTGGAAAGGATAGATACCAAGCTTTGATGAGCACCTAAATTGTCTGCTGCTATTCAAATGACCCATTATTGCCCTATGGAAATAGCTTTCCTTTGCAACTTAAATAACAGCCTAAAAATCTGCAGATTCCTTAATGATTTCATTTTCTTCTTCCCATTAGTTAAGGAAATGCATTTCTAGGCCAGATCTATCAATGTGCTACCATTCTATAGTTCAGCATTCATTTTCTTCCCTCATTCTTTATTATGAAGCTATTTGAAATAAAACCTGAAAATAAGGGGAAGGAAGAAAGCCAGTAAGAACTACTCTCATCAGATTTAGAGTATATATTCTCCTCCACATCTGAATCATTGGGATCATCCACAATGTCATCAAATGGCGGTAAAGTTGGTATCTTCTTCTCTGATGTCTCACTTTCAATTTTGACCTTTCCCATCTTGACATGAGATTTATCTTTTATCTGTTTTTTGTCAGCAGAACGAGTGAGTATCAGTGGTGGTGCTCTAGAAAAACTTTTAAATAAAGCCTCTGAGCTACTCTTTTTCCCTTTTTTTTTGGCTGAGAGTTCTTCAGAATCTGAAATGGGTGACCTTTTACTAAGAGCCTTCTTATTTTGTCCAGTGGTGTTCGTGAGTAAGTTACTGCCTAGTTTTGGCTCTTTTGACATGGGATTAGGTTCCTTGAAGGCCATCTTAGGAACTATTTTCTCTTCTTTTAGTGGTTTATTTTCTTAGGGTTTCTTAGAGGAATCTTTGGAAGATTTGTTGTGATCCCTGGAAGGTTCTGTGAAGGCACTTTTATGTTCTCTGGAGTCTTCAGAAGGTTTTTCTTTGCGCTCCTTCATTAATTTGTGAGGCTCTGAAAAACTGGTGCTGCTGCTGCTGCTGCTGCTAGTATGCATACTCCTATTAGGGTCCCCTCCTGCCTTCAGCAACTTTCACCTAAAGTCCTCTGTGGGGTTGTTGAAAGTTAGCTTCTTACACTTTCCCCCATCCCTGTTGCAATCTCACATCACACTACCACCCCAGGGATGGCAGTAGACACCAACCCAGAAATTTAGACAGGGACCACTTACTTTTGGAACATAGGGGTTAGGCATGAAGATGGTTATGATTAAGAAGATAGCTTTGTTATTAAATAGCGATAACTGGAATCGACAGTGCTGACCATCTCTGTTTAACCTTTTCTTTCACTCTGATGCCCCTTATCTCACCCCTACCTTGGAATTTAATAAGCCTCAGGCATTTCCAATTGTAAATGAAAACCACTCCTAGCACCTCCTTTAGTATTTTCCATGTATCAGGACAGAGATGTCTTATGTAGGGAAGGGGCAGGTATGAAGTAAGGTGGATTATCTACACCTGTCACTCATTCGGGATTCTTGTTCCCATGCTGCTGCCCATTCAGTCGCACAGGAATGCTATGTGATGGCCAGCTGCTTCCTTCCTTGGTTATCATCCATTGCAGCAGCTTGTTAGGTTTGGAGGGATGACTTTTAGTAAATCTTGGGGATTTTATTTGTTTTCACTTTTGGGATTTTGTGGGGTGGGAGTGGGGAGCAGGAATTGCACTCAGACATGACATTTCCATTCATCTCTGCTAATGAAAAGGGTCCTTCCTCTTGGGGGATATCTGTGTGTCAGTTCTGTTTTTTCTTTTTTTAAGACGGGGTTTCACCATGTTGGTCAGGCTGGTCTTGAACTCCCGACCTCAGGTGATCCGCCCACCTTGGCCGCCAAAGTGCTTGAAAGTTCCAAGTGGAGGCTTGGAACAAAGGCCAGACACTTGACATCAAGACTGGCTATATTGTCAAAATGGACTCTTAAAATAGGATTGCGCTGTTATCCCCAGGGTAACTTAGTCCATTGATCAAGTTATTGGGTCAATAAGTATAGATTTACTTAGACTAGTGAGGTCTTGGTATGTGTCTTTCGGGGGCTGTGATGTGCTCCGAGGTCACCCCAACCAAAATCTATAGTACATTGACGGTAAATTAATGCCTGTGGGTTTTTAAGGCGTTGGTTTGTACTATTAAATTGAAGCTCCATAGGGTCTTCTCGTCTTATTTGTGTATATTCCCCTCTTCACGGATAGGTCGATTTCACTAATTAAAAGAGACAGTTAAACCCTCGTGTGGCCATTCATACAAGTCCCTATTTAGAGAACAAGTGATTATGCTACCTTTGCATGGTCAGGGTACCGCGGCAGTTGAACGTGTCACTGGGCTGGCAATGCCTCTAATACTAATAATGCTAGAGGTGATGTTTTCGGTAAACAGGCGGGGGTAAAGTTTGCTGAGTTCCTTTTACTTTTTTTAACCTTTCCTGGATGCATGCCTGTGTTGGGTTAACAGTTCAGTTAATGGGTGTTTTAAGCTGTAGTATGTAATGATGAGGCTGTTAATTAACAGTAGTTGTTTGGGTCTGAGATAAGCTTATGTGGGGAAAATAATTTCATGATACTTATACTAACATTATTGCTTCTGTTAAGTAATAGATTAGTCCAGTGTGTTTCAGGAGTTCAGTGGAGTGAATAGAATTAAAAGTAAGTAAGTATTGAGCTTAAACGCTTTCTTAATTGATGGCTGCTTTTAGGCCAACTATGGTAGTGAAATATTTTACTCTCTATATTAAGGTTATTTCCTAGGGTCTAAAGAGCTGTCCCTCTTTAGACTAACAATTAAATTTACTGGGGGATTAAATGATTCTGTAAGTAAATTTAAGGTTGAACTAAGATTCTGTCTTGGACAACCAGCTGTCACCAGGCTCGGCAGGTTTGTCGCCACTACCCACAGATCTTCCCACTATTTTGCCACATAGACGGGTGCACTCTTTTAGCTATCCTTGGGTAGCTCATTTGGTTTTGGGGGGTGTTGTTGAAGTTCTCTGCATAAAGTTGTTTCTAGTTAATTCATTATGTAGAAGGTAGAAGGGTTTATCTTTGCTTTTTTATGCTTATTAGGTTTTTGTCTTTCCCTTACGGCACTATATCTATTGCGCCTAGTATGTAATTTCTATTGCCTATACTTTTGTAGTAGGTAAATGATTTAGTTATTGTATTTAGATAGTATTGTTGAATGAGAATTTGGGCTAGAGTTAGCTCAAAGCTATCAATTGTGAGATCTTCCTAATCCGGATGCTTTAATTTAAGCTACACTTTGATTCATCCAAGCGCACTTTCCAGTTCGCTTACCATGTTACGACTTATCCCTTCTGTATCAGTATGTAGTGGCTTATTGTTAATGTGCTTTTATATGATGGTTGAGGAGGGTGATGGGCAGTGTGTGTGTGCTTAATGGCCTTGCTTCAATCAAGCTCTCTATTCTTGATTTACTGCTAAATCCACCTTAGGCCCTTAGATTTCATAAAGGCTATCGTGTGATTTTCTAATTTAGAAAATGTAGCCCATTTCTTCCCACTTCATTGGCTGCACCTTGACCTAACGTTTTTATGATGATACTTCTGCTTACTTCACGATCTTTAAGGAGTTTGCCGAAGATGGCGGTATACAGGCTGAGAGCGAGAGGTGGTAAGCTTTATCGGGGTGTATAGATTACAGAACAGGCTCCTCATGGATGTAAAGCACCGCCAGGTCCTTTGAGTTTCAAGCTATTGCTTGTAGTGTTCTGGCGAATAATTTTGTTAGTTAAGCTATTGAGGTTTAGGGCTAAGCATAGTGGGGTATCTAATCCCAGTTTGTACCTTAGCTATAGTGTATTCAGGATACTAAAGCCACTTTCGTAGAACATTTTACTATAACTGGGGTTTTCTACGACTTAGTTACAGGTTAGCTTTATTGGGAATAAAATCTTAAACACTCTTTACGCCGGGCTCTATTAACTTGAGTCAGTCGTATGGCCACGGTGGCTGGCACGAAATTGACCAACTCTGATGGTAAGTGTAGCTTAGTTAAATTTTCGTTCATTGCTAAAAGTTTGTCACTACTGTTTCCCGTGGGGGCGTGGCTAAGCAGAGTGTTTTGAGCTGCATGTGTGCGTGCTTGGTGCTCGCTCCTCATGTTCTGGTGTTCTAGAGGGCATTTTCACAGGGCTGCGGATGTTTGCATGTGTAATCTCACTGAGAGCTAATAGCCTAGGACCAAACCTATGTGTTTATGGGGTAATAATTACCCGTCTAGACATTTTCAGTGTCTTGCTTTAAATATTAAGCTACATTAACTAAGTTAGAATTTAAATAAGTATATAGTGATAAGCCAGGTGGGCTTAAAATTTAATTTACTACTATATTAGTATAGGCATGTTTTCTGAAGGGTGGCATCTGACGTGTGTGAGGAGTAATCATGGGCAGTACTATTTATTGAAGTGTGTGTGGGTAGTTGCGGGGCGTATATGTTTTTCAGTTTGTAGGACTTGTAAAATAAATAATGTCAATAGTGGGATATCTCTTTATGACATCTGCCTCAGAAAATACAAATTGGATTTGAGGTTGGGTAAGTGGAAATAGGTAAATATACGTGTGGATGTAGGAGCGGTGGTCTATAGATTTAATTGGGTAAAACACTAGTTATTTATCATGTCCTGTAACCATTGACTGAATAACACCTTAGTGGTCGGGATGGGGGCCAAGACATTCAATATAGGTGCGATGATAGCATAAGGTCTGGCAAAGCACATTCAGGTCCCACAGGACCGAGGGCAGGACTCCTACCGGAACCTATGGCAATGCTGATGATTTCCCTCCCCGCCCCTCCACTTTCCCCACCCAGGCATTCTATGCATCCTGTGACGCGGTTAAGAGGGTGATAGCACCATACCATCGTGATGTCTTATTTAAGAAGAACACATGCACAATCTTAATGGAATGGCCCTGAGGTAGGAACCAAATGCCAGATATAGTTTCAGGATAACCAAGCCCTGTCTGTATGGGCCCGGAGGGAGAAGAGCGGCAAATGTGGGCGGGTTGCTGGTTTCATGGAGGATGGTAGATTAAGAGACCAAATATAATGATAGATATCCATGGTTAGAAGGACTGTCGAAGTAGAATGTGCTATGCCCGATTAATAACCTAATGTATGGGTGTACAATTAATGATATTATATACTGGACAATATCCATGCGCTGGGGCACTTGTTATGTGCTGTTTGGATTCGAATGTGTTATAGTCCAATGTGGGATTACAGTTCTTGCTTATAAGCATGTTTGTTAACATCTTATGCATGTCTTGGTGTAATGTACTATGTATAGTTAAGCATTTGTAGCACTATGTATTCATGGGGACGAGCAATAATGTACTAATTACATAAAAGGTGGAAATATTGTGTATGCTTGCAAAGTACTATATTGCTAAGCCATCAGTAGTATAAATTAGTTAGCCAGTTATAGTTTAAGATTAGATTTTCAGGGAATAGTTTAAGATTAGAATTTCAGCTTTGGGTGTTGATGGTAGAATTAGATATTCTTTCCCTGATGTCCTGGGGAGTGGGTGTATCTCCTTTTCTGGTTTGCAAGACCAGGGTATTAAATTATACTACAAGGACATTTATCACTTAAGTAGTTTGTTTTCAATTAAGGCTGAGAAGGGGATTAGGGTAATAATAATAAGGAAATATATAATGGATGCGGTTTGGCCAGTGGTTACGAAGGGGTATTCGACTGGTTGGCCTCCAATGCATGTGAGTTTAAGTAGATCGGCCACTAGGGTTCAGAATAGGATTTGGGCGATTGGTCGGAATGCTATGCTTTATTGTTTGGATAGGTGTATAATGGGGATAATTATAAGAATTAGAATAGAGAGTACAAGAGCTAGGACGCCTCCCAGTTTGTTGGGAATAGATCGTAAGATTGCGTATGCAAATAGAAAGTATCATTCTGGCTTGATGTGGGGTAGGGTATTGAGGGGATTGGCTAATGTATAGTTGTCTGGGTCAGTTAAAAGGTCAGGTGTAAATAAGGTTAGGCTTATTAGGGATAGGAGAAGAAAAATTAGTCCGAGGATATCTTTAGTTGTATAGTAGGGGTGAAATATAATTTTATTGGGGTTGGATGTCATTCCTGATGGATTACTTGATCCTGTTTCATGCAGAAACAAGAGATGGATAGTTGCTAGGGCTGTGATGATAAAGGGTAAGATAAAGTGGAAAGTAAAGAATCGTGTAAGGGTGGCTTTGTCTGCTGAGAAGCCGCCTCAGATCCATTGTACAAGGTCGGATCCAATGTAGGGGATGGCTGATAGAAGGTTTGTAATTACTGTAGCCCCTCAA